CTGCAAATCCCATGGCCATCAGCAGCTGCTGTGCTTATAAACCTTCCCCTGATGCTCCTACAGGTGGTTGCAACCTTCCCACTCCTATTCCATTCGTACCTGTCCTAATGTTTCTACTGCAGTTCTCTACATGTTGATGCAAACTTCAACAGACTTTGCAACTTCTCAAGGCCTATACAAATTTGAGCTTCTTGTGAACAAATACATCCCCCTTTTCATTTATTTTACTTTGAAAGTGGCTCTGTTCTGATGCTAAGATTAACTTTCCCTCTCAGGGAAAAGATCCATCTTGTAATAGATAGTTTGTCAAGACTGCAAAACTTCACTGAATAATTCCTATGTTTATATATATTTTTTGCATTACATCATATTGGGAGGCCTCGACAAGACATATTTTTGTGAGTTTATGTTAAAAAGAATAATCTTTTTTAGCTTAACTGCTTGGCTGTGTGATTAAGGGATACCCATTTGATGGGGCCCCCCTGGTGCTAAACCCTCTAAGATGAGTAAAAGACTTTCTGTCAAACTGTAAACATCACATACTTTTAAAAAAGATCTCAGATAAAGTAACAAGATAGTAGAAGAGGTATCTGAAATCTAGTGTCTAATAGTTAGTGTAGGTTTTGCCTTTTATAGACTATTGCATGTGAAGAACTGTGTGAAGTTGACAAAGTTAGAAACAAAGCAGATAGATAACTTTCTATTGCAGGAATGAATGAAGCCTTTAAAATGAAATGCAAGAACAACCTTCCGCCCACAAAAACCAGTCCAAAAGTAAGATTCTGATTTATTTGATTCTACACATATTTTTGTCATTAAGCTTTGTAGCGTATTCTAAACTTTTGCTGCACTGTTATGCATCTTAAGCCACTGATTCCCACATGGTGAGCTAATGGCAAAGAAAACACTTGTGTCACCACAATTGGGGCAAAAAGAAAGTCTGAGGCAGAGACACAGAAGATTTTCAAAGCTTTCTCAGACACATTAGCCTACATGGAGATGACACCACATAGGATTTCTGGGCTTTTCTCCCTTGTCTTAGGCCACCTGCATGAGCTCCTTTCAGTTAGCAGAGCAGAAAGGAGGACAGAATTTAATGAAACCACAGTCAGGGGGAAAAAAAAAAAAAAAGGAAAAGCCAACTAAGATCAACTAAGATCTTTAATTTTAGATAGCTGGGCAGAGTTAGCTGCGCAGTTTTGGAATGAATGTGTCAAAATGACAGGTGGTCATGAAAAAGAAGAAGCAATGATGTTGATAGTAACAGCAGAGTTACATCAGCTAAGCACGTGTGAATGTGTACATGCAAACGTTGGGATCCCCGGAACAGGAGCCCGTAGCCCTGCTGCAGAGCCCTTTCACATCTGCTGGAGGCCCACTGCTGCCAGTGGCTGCCCCTGGCCCTGGCATTTGAAGGCAAGAGGCTCCTTGGACTCTTTCTTCTTTTCTTATAAACAAGGACAACAAATTATGATTGCTAATGTATATGCCAAACCGTTCTCATCCTTTGAGTGGCTCGTATTATAACTTTCAGAAGTGTTTCTGTAAGTGGGTGCTATACATAAATTAGGAGTTGGATGTATAAACATTTTATTTATTTATTTATTTATTTATTTATCTATTTACCTATTTATTTATTGATTTATTTATTTGACTCAAAGCTTAGCTGTCCTATAGCCTTCTGCTTGCTCAGCTGCGTCACTCCTGAGCCCAAAGAGATGCAGAGACTGAGACAGCCGCCCTGCAGAAGCTCTTTTGTATTGCCTAATTTCCAGCACCTGCAGTTTCCTTCAGAGGTGGGAGAGGAGGGATGGAGGGAGGGAGCTGCGGCAGCACAAGTCCTTGGGCACTGCCCATCCTCTCTGTGCTCACACGAGGGGCAGTACACTGCATAATATACCAGGGGGTATCTCCTGGAGGAGAGTCCAAATGGGATGCAATTCCCTCCAAACCAAAATAGAGCTGCAGCTACAGAGGTGCCCATCTTCAATTCCCAGCAGAGCTATTTCATCAAAGGTGGCCTACCTACTTGTGGTGGAAGGCCAGAGTAATTCTGTGAAGTTCTGTTGGCCTATGTTTTATCAGAAAGGAGCATAAAAATCCGCGCTCCCTAACTGACAGATTTATCCCCACAAACTCTCTATTTATTTGTGACGTTGTTCTGTGAGGTCCTTTTACTGCATGAGCACAAAACTCCATTTATTGGTGAAAGCTGTGTCTTCACTAAAGGCACTTGCCAGTGTCTATCAGTCTGCCTTACTGAAGTGCCACCTAACGGGTTGATGGGAAAAAGCCAAGTCCAAGGATCACCTTGAACAGTGTTGCCAAAATAGTTTTCACTACAAACTACAACCAAATACTAAGGCTAGGCTTCAAAGCCAAGTTGATTAGTTTTATTTTCTCCCCTTTTGCCTCCTTGCTTGTTTGCATCTGTGGGAATATGCATGCGTGCGTGTGGGTTTTTAATTTTTTCGCAATTGTTTCGCAGTCTCCCTTCTGATGTCTTGGAGACCACACATTAAGGAACACTGGGTGTAGACTAATTATAAGACTTCCCTAGTAGCATGAATTTAAGCTTGAAATCCCTTCTGCTCTTTTCTTTTTCTTCCCACAAGCAATATCAAAATGCCAACAGACAGAGACATTTTTCATATGGGGGCATGTTTATCTTGCATCATCCAATGTGCTCGCATGCTGCAAGTGTATTCCCATCAGGGTATGGGACAAGCCGGTAAGTTACTCTGAAGTAAATTAAGGGCCTGGACTTACAGCATAGCTATGTCCTGGTGGTAACTGCAGGTCTCTTGATTTTCCCTTCATGTGAAGTAGTTTACCTGCAGTCATGCCTGGGTAACCTACCTTCTGCTGGCTGCAAGGTCAGAGCCCACACAGAGGAGCTGCACAGCAAGGTCATGGCTGGGAGAATTTTTTCATCTTTCTGATTTTTTAAGGCTCGCCACAATGGAGGGTGAGGTTGCTGAAATGCAGGCGAAGAAGCAATGAAATGCCATGGAAAAAAAAGAAGAGATATGCACTTCATTTAAAATACGTTTGTATGTGCTATGCTCCTTCAAAGTAAAGTAAATGACCCCGCTGCAGAAATAGTGCTTCATGTTTCTTTCAGATGTGGGATATTTGCTAACATTGTTAGATGGACACAAAGCCAGATGGCTTCATTTTGAATTGTTATATGGTGTTCTTTTTCCACTGTGCCTAACAAAAAATCATTTATGAAGCAAAAGAAAAAAAAAACCCTCCTTATATTACGTAACTGTTAATTCAGCCTCAAAAAAGAAAAGAAAAAAAAAAAAAGAAGCCATTTGAGATCCCATGGAAATATTATTGGATTGTTGCAGAAAATTTATTGCTTAAGACAAACATTGGATTAAATGACAACTGTTATAATGGCACCTTCGTGGCCAGTACATGCGTTCATGGGAAAGTGGTTAATATTCCCTGCAAAGCAGCTGAACTTTGCAGAGAGGCAAAAAAGCAGTATGGGTTTTTTCAGAGGCAGTCAATGTTTTCTGAAAACTCACGCTGCTGGAGATGCTTCGGAGCTCTGGATGACTGTGAACATCTCCTGCCACTGGCTCTTTCCCAATTGCCGCCCACTAGCCCCTGGTAGCCAGAGCACAGCCCAGACAAAGTCCGAAAGGAACAGCACTGTTGGGTGGCAGGCGATGAAAATGAAGCAGAGAGGAGCCGTGTGTTGTGTAGCGTGATGGTGAGAGGGCCAGGAATAGACCTCGACCCCCTGACTCTATACCTTGTGATCTCCCCACTTCTTGTCTTCCTGTTTTCCTTTGGAAATGTTGACAGCTTACTGGAGAGGCAAGTCTACAAACATTACACATTCCACTGTCAAAAAAAAGGGCTTTGTTATTTGATATAGGAACTCTTTTAATTATTGCGGCACCTTCTCAGCATGAGGTCGCAAAGGGCACATTTGTTAGCAGCATTTATTAGTGATCTCTCCATGGTTAGCACACAAGTCCAAAAGAATTGGCTGGACACGCTGGAGTTTTTTACACAGTCCCATTCAAGAATATTTTAATAACAAGTATCATAACTTTTTTGACTGGAAATAGTGAAATCGGTACTGATCCAATGAGAACTGAACTGATTTTTCACGCACCACTTGAATCAACACCAAAAACTGTGCCAGGCCCTGCTTTTTTGGATTTTAGCTTCAGATAGAAACAGATGTGCGCAAATCCAGAGACAGTTTTTCCCTGTAGGAGCCACCAATTTAAACAAAACTTCATAAACCTCCATCACACTGACTGTACTTCAATAGTTTGAGTTTTCAGACAAATGCAAACTCGTTATTATCAGAACTGATTAGATATCTGGATGGCTAATTTTAGTGCTTTCATCAGTCACAGAACACTTTTGTTGTTTCTTATGAAGGTTTCTATTAAATTTGTTCACAATAAGCCATTTTTGCCACTTCTTTGTAATGGGAGTATTAAAGGGGTTGGAACTAAAATGAGTCACAGGCAAAAGCTCTCCCCTCTATGTTCAGTAAGCACACAGTAAAAATAAAGAAGTGTTCAGCCATGTAAAAATATGATATGAAAACTTGTATCCTAAACTGCTCTTGGCCTGAAGTTGGTAGCAAAGTTCCGCCACCTTTTTGCCTTCTTACACCTAACGGCACGAGGCACATTGGATTCAGCACTGGGACTAAGGCTGAGAGAACCTGGCAAGCTTTCTTCTTAAAAAACCCCAAACATCAGCCTACACCTAACAAGCCAAAGCACATATCTTTGGGAATTTTGCATTATGCTCAGGATTTGGTCTGTGCCTGAATAAGGTGCACTGGTTTAATGGGGCATCTTGCTGGGGTAACTCTGCACACAGGTGCATGTTTCGCATCGCTGGAACTCGTATGAGCTCTGCACCCCTTTTCAAGCAGGTTGTACAGTGACCATGATGTTACAGCGGCCGTGCTAGAAAAGGATGTATTCTTTCCATGGCTATGTTAAATAAGAACTATGGGAAGTAGTGCCGACGGAAACGAAAACAGCAGCTATGATGATGACATCATAAACGTCAGTTTCCCGAAGGAAGGTATGGATCTGTATCTTCGTGCTGGTGATGGAAAAAAACCCAACACACAAAGCAGCTTCTTACATACATTCAAAGAGTGAAAGGTGGGAATTCAGGCACCCTCATTCTCCAGGCCAGCACCCTTCCTATTACTGGCCACAATATTCAGTGTATGTGCGTGGGTCTGTAATCCCTGGAGGTAAGCTTGCACTTCAGATTCACCACAGCGTCTGCCTTGTCCTGGATATTAGTAGGTCCTCTGCAAGGCTCAGAGATCTGCAGCATTAGGGCTCCCAGGCACCATGGGCCATGCAGGCTGCTGTGCTTAACGTTGCCACCATGGTGTCCTCATTCAAGAGAGTGATGAGTTCTTCAGAGCTTGCTGGTATGCCATATTGCTAGGTCCTGGTTTATATTGACAGAGAGGAGAGTTGTGACATAGCTAAGCAAACCCTTTGCTACAGGCACTTGTCTTAGGTGCCACCACTACTATGGCATTACGTTCATGAGTAGTGGGGCTGCTGGACCTTGAGTCCCCGTGTGATCCCAGCCTGGATCTCAGAAGAGCAGTAGTGGGCCACACTCAGGCTGTCCACTCCAGGCTTTTAACCTAGGCTTTGTAACAACTTCTTCCCTTGAATACACAGGATGCTAGGATTTGGCAGCCTCAAGCTGTAGGTGGTCTGAAGTGCTTGTGACACTCTTGAACTTTGACATCACAGTGGCACCAATGTCCTCCTTAAGTGCTATGGTAGTGGCTCTGAATGTGGCCCACACATCCTTTCCTGGCAATATGATCTGCAAGGGTAGACCTTTGTAATCAGCCTTATACATTCCCAAAGAAGCTATCAAGGCTACACGTGAGCTGAAGACTCTCTGCTTTAAATAGTTAACCCTTGCGGATGTTTGTGTGAACATAATACCACACCTTCATAAGGAGGGTTTGTTTTCTGCCTTTACTGATCTGAACATGTGAAATACTTTGGTTCATCCAGATCATATAGCAGGGTCAAACATTTTAATTTATAGAGGGTCACAGTTGCTACTCCTCTTAAACACCAATGGAATTTTTCAATATCCTTGAAGTAAATCCCTTTTGCAAAACAGTAAATGTTAGTATGACAGTATGTCAAACACGGATTTGTTCCGAGATTATTTACTTACAATTAAACAACTGTGCTGGCTCTCAGAGGGACTAGTCAGCAAAATCAACATTATTTGAAAGAGCAGCAGGGATGGCCAGTGTTTTAGAATCCGAGGAATGTGGTTTTCATAAATTCCACAGCCTGGTGAGATGCCACGGAACTAACTAACTTGTTCTTTAAAGGGTTTTTTGGAGGCCTATTTTACATGAATCTACATTTTAAAGGTTTTCTATTTTGTGAGGAAAAAGCAAATAGCAACTTTTCCATTTTAAAACTTGGGAGAGGAACATTTTCCCATTACGATCAAAGTATTTTCCATTCTTTATTTTTTTTTTCCTTTTACTTCAACATATGCACACATATCCACATATCCACCTCTTGGGCAGGGCAGAATGGGGAATCAGCTAGTAGCAGCTGCCAGGAGTGAAATTTCCGAACGCGGAAAGGCAGTCAGGCTGTTCGCAGCTCCGATCTGCTTCATGACACCGTCTGTATTTCTGCGTGCTGCAGTTCCGACTCTGCTTTGAAAATGCTCTTCCTTATTAGCCATTCCTTGTCAATCCTTGCCGCGTTGTTCTCCTCTTCTTGAGCCAAAAGCAAAAGGTCAAGCCTGTACTTACGTGCAGGGAGGCAGTTTTTAAGTAGACATTCTTCCGTATGTATGCTTTCAATAAAATCTTAATTATCTTCTTTACTAAATTGGCATGTTTCTCTGTGGACGCGGTGTAGTTCAGCACATACTTTTAAAGCAGGGCAGGGGCAGAAGAAATTACAAAGCCCACTTGGGAGTTCAAAAATGGGTGTTTGGACATCTTTTATGCACACATTGAGGGGCTGGCTTTTGGTTTAGCGTAACCTGACAGAGAGAGGGCAAAGCAGAGGCGGAGCAGCTCCTCGCCCGTGCCAGGGAAAGCAGCGGGTGGCAAAGCGGGGAGCTGCTGGGGCAGAGCATCTGCAGGACAAAATGACGGCGACCTGGGTGCCTCCCTCCCCTGGGGCACAGCTGAGGACAAACGCACTGCAGAGCAGCCGCTCTGCTACTGCCCTGCTCCCCACACCAGCCCCGCTCCTCCTGCCTCCTTTTTGGGAATGTTCCTGGCCTCCCTCTTGCTTGGCAGCCTTGCAAAGCCCTCAGCACCTCTGCTTGGCACCATATATTTGCACGAAACAGCTAAAGGTGTGGGATGAAATGTCTGTATGAGCTGGGGAGGAGCTGTGCAGGCCCTTGTGGGATGTAGATAATCTTGCACGGGAGCAAAGTTTGACGGGGAAGGTCATCAAAGGAAATGTTTTAAATATGAGAGGCTGCAAATGTAAGCAGTATTGTGGTAACTGCCACGAGTTTTCAGCTTAACTAAAAATAGTCCTTGCCATCCTTGAAGTCTATTTACAATATCCTAATGACTTCAACTTGCTCTTGTCAATATTTGCCTGAGACCAAAAATCTGACTTCAAGATCTCTTTAGTATTTCTGGGTCACCTCTTAGAGAAGAATTCTGTGAGGTGCCGCATTCCCTCCCTTCCTACACCCATCACCATCAGCAAGGACTGCGCTCTAAATGGATGAGAGCAGATAAATGAAGTATCAGCCAGCGATGCTTCACATCAGGTGTGTCAGGTAAGGAGGTAAAAAAGGGAGAGGAAATCAGAAGTTTTCCATACATGCTATAAAGTGTTTTTCAAGCTCATCCTAAATGCAAAAAGGGTCAGTGAAAAAGACAGTAGATTTTCTTATAGATTTGTACTTACTTGATAAGCTAGGTAGAGTCTTGCTAAAACATTAAAGACATTTTTGCACTCTGTGTTCACATAATGATGTGGAAACAGATGCCAGAAATAGTCTCAAGGGAGGAAAAAGAAACAGTGAACTAGGAAACCAGGCTCCTGTTAGGGCAGATAATTAGAATATCTGAAGAGTGACAAAATTCCAGTGCCAAACCAGCTCCATTTCACACCATGGAGGAGGTGCCAAGAAGATGGAATATAACAAAGACCTCAGAAAATTTCTGCTAGTTTCTGTTAAACTTGTTGCAAAGAGCCCAGACGCTATGAAGTTTGCTTCATAGGCATACTCACTCCCTTTCTGTTCTTACCCATTTATTCAGTTTGTGCCTTCACTACTTTAGTATCTGTCCTTTAAAAATTTGCAAGCAGCTGTTGTCAGCCACAGGGATTTACACCACCTCAAGCACGTGAAGCTTTAGGTGCACCAGAACTAAACCACACACAAGAACCAGACCCAGACCAGCACCAGCACTGGCTGTAGATGAGGGGACAGGGGTCAGCACCGCTGCAACCTGCCTGAGATCCTCTTGTACAAATATTTTGCACGAGGGGACCTGGGGGTACCATGTCCATCAGGACATATTTTCCCTTCAGGACAGGAGAAGCCTGCTAGTGCAGATACTCTTCTCTACACTTCGTTGTGTAAGGGAAGGGGGAGGAGGAGGCATCTGGCAGCAAGGAGCAGAAAAGCAGGAAAGAACAGGGGATGTGTTTTGCTCTGCTCCATCGAGTAGCCCTGCCCTGGTCCATTTGTTGTGCAATTTAAAACTGCCTGTCAGCAGCATTATTTATGGCAAGGCGCAGGCTGATTCTCAGAATCAGGAAGCCAAATCCAGCTTCCCTGATGTCATTCTCCACCCAAGCTATTAGGTTTTTCAGCCTTATTTCTTAAGAAAATGATTCCTGCATAATTTTTGCAGCCTGCTCGTACAACGATGTGCGTGCCTTCTATCACTCTTTTCTTAAGAATTTTGTAATGCAGCTCACCAGTTTCAGTCAGATTCAGCAGAAAGGCACAGGGCTCAAAGTTGTTCAGTTCCCAAATGTTTCATTGAACCATTTGTCTGTGTAGAGAAACAAGAGCCAGAGGAGCATCTGTTCCTCAAGGGAATGCAGACAGAGCTCAGCCTTTGTTCAGTCCGAAAGTGGCCACCTGACCCGTCCCCGCTTGCATGTTGGCTGGCCAGCTGGCTTGCAGGCACGTCCGAGCCAGCCACAGCTTGTGACTGCCCAAAAGATTTAGGGGCACTGAAGGACAGTGGAGGGGTTATCCGTATTGCAGTGGTGGGAAGCATGGGGAAGCACGAGAGGAACTGAAGGCATGGGGCAGGACGGCATGTTCACGAAGACACAAAGAAGAAATGGGACGATTCACCAAGAGGCAGAGAGGCTATGGGGTGCAAGCCTGTGGTGAGCCTCTTCCAGCCCTTACAGGGCACCTGAGCCATAGTGGGGGCTCCTGGGCTCAGTGCCACCTTGCCCACATCTAGCTGAAGTCTGAGAGAAGAGGTGATATATCGAGAGCAGAACCGAGCACGCTTCGTGACATTCTGTATGTTTCTTGGCGCAGACAAAGTGCTGGAGATAAACCAGATGATGCATAAATTCACAGACCATAGTTTAAGAAGATTAAGGAAACAGGGCTTTTGACTTTATAAAATAAAAGACTCGAAGGAACCTTAAGAGTGGAAATAGAAATAGGAAGGGTCCAGAGGCATGTTGATAGCAGAGATGATTGCATTCCTAATAATAAACCAAGGGGCTCTGATTTAATCTATGGAATGACCAGACACAAAAGGAATTCAAGTGGAATTTTCTGCCTGCAGAGCAGTGGATAGAGCATGCAGGAAAAACAGCAAAGGAAGAAAAAGGTGTGGTATGCAAGTATGGGCTAAAAAGGATGGTGGAATTTATCTAGAGACTCAGAAAGGGCCACACTTAATTAGAAAGGACTCCTAGTTTCCTTCTGTCCCAAAATGTCTCTCATTTGCTATTAGCAGCTCAGCAGGGGTGGTATGATACAATTACTCATTAGGTAAAGGAATTTCAAACCTTTGCCCTAAGAGGAGGCTCAACTTGTCACTCAAACTC